TCATCCTCACTGCAGGGTGCGGTGGGCATTTTCCTGTCGTCTTTATGTCACGTTGTTGTCATGAATCTCAGTTTTCAGTCAGGCTTCTCTGACAAGATGAACAATCAATACGCATGTGCCGGGAAATTTGGAACAACGCCCGCCTCGGAGCCTTGTGCATCGCCTCGTCGCCATGGCAACAGGTCCTCTCGACGGCGACAGATTCTGACACATTCCGAGTAGCCGTCGGGGGGCTGAGCTAAAAAAAAATATATAAAAAATGCTCACATGCAGGACGAGGGAGAAAAAGAACGAGAGAGGCTGCAGCCCGAATAAGAAAGTGAATCCGGGGGTTGGAAGCTGGTTGAGCTAAGGACGTACTGTAGGTGCATTTTTCACATATTTAAAATAAAGTGTGTTTTGTTTCTACTTCTACTAGTCAGGGGCCACAGCAGGGGAGGAACATAACTGAAGAGATATGTGATACAAGCAAAGACAACTGTTAAAACATTCAAAAAGTCTCCACACAAGGGGACATAAATAGGAAATCAATAGATAGAAAGAGGCATTATGAAGCAAATATATCTGGAAAATGATGAGTGTGCCTCAAACTCAGCCTGGAGATTTTCACTGATTCAGTTTTATACAGGATCAACCGTGCCCTAAAAGTGATCAATAAAAGCACAAAATCAATCCTGGGAGAAGCTGGAAAAACAACCACAGACTCTGGTAGAGTTAGAAATGAGACGAAGCATTCTGACTCATGCAGAAGAACAAAGAATGATGCGCTCTGAAGTACAACAATATGGAAGCAGGGGTGGCATTTTCTTAACAACAAAGGGAGTGATTAATGTTTGAAATATTCTCAAACTGTGAACGCAAAGGCTGAACAACAGTGTAAACTGGGCCAGCAGAAACAGACGGATGAATCGGCAAAGAGTCGTTATCCGTCAGGGAAGAAGTTTGTCTCTCTGTCCCTACATTTAATTTCATTTAATGGCTGACTTAAGAACAGCTCAGCATCTGCCTCTTCTAGATTTGCTTTTTTAAGGTCAGGCTGTTTTCAAACTTCCCTCAAAGGCCTATTTAAGTTTTTTCTTGTGTAGACAAATTCATTAAATAACTGAGTAACAAATGTAGAAGACTCTTTCCTCTTATTACACTTAAGGCAAATTGCCAATTGTCCTTCCTGATTTGACTCTGTAAAGTCGAGGATAACGATGAATTGCACATGCACACATCGGTTGCATTAATACTTTCAGAAAGTTTAGAGACGCTGCCCCAGAGTCACGTCAACACTTGTCAACATCTGATAATTAACAGGGAAATCTATGCTGTGTAATCCAGCATGAGGGATTGACTTTGACACAACATTTAAGAGTTCTTTAATCATGGCTGTGCAGCGTAACATTACAGCCACCTTGAATATGTTTAATAGCTGAGTTCATGTATCAGATTTGACAAAGATATCTAAGATAGAGAGAGAGGGAGAGATTTTTGAGAAGGCAGTGATTTTGGGTTGGATGCAGGCTTTCCCCAAGACTATAATTCCGACACTCTCTCTGCAGTTTGTCTTGGTTTTTCTGTTTTCCTAATCAGGTCAGTGGATCGTTCCACTTTTTTTTCCGAGTGATCATTAATTCCTTCAGAATAAAACAATCCTTTAAACTCTGCGGCCTTTGAAGTCTGGCTGCTTCACTGGGTAGCCGTCGCGCCGATCCACAGGAGGGGACGAGGAGGAGAGGAGGATGTGAGTTTCCACATGGAGCCGAGAGGAGACGGAGTGCGGCAGAAGAAAAAGGAGAGCACAAAGAGCCAATTCAAGAAGGAGGACTCAAAGGGGGAAGGAGGAGGAGGAAGTGGAAAGAATAATGAAGACAATGAGAGGAGCAGATGAGGATGGAAGACGGGGCGATGATGCTGATGATGAGACGACAGGAGCAGAAGAAGGAGCTGAAAGAGGAGACGCTTTACTGTTTAGTCCCGCTGAGACATTGCACTCGTTCCCCATCGTAGTAAATCATGTCACTTGGCTACATCCTGTCTGTTCTCAACTTCTCAGCGGCCTGAAGGCGATAAACAGGCCAGCTGCCGTATTGGAAACAGATGTTGTGAGAGGGCGAGGGAGACACAGGCTAAAGGAAAGAGAGACATTCTGCTGAGTGTGTTTCTCTGGCTCCCGTAATGAGATCCATCTGAGAGCTACTGGTTTCAGGTCAGCCTGCAGTGAAACAGGAGCAAACACAACGCTGACTATCTGCCAACACATTCTGGTCTGATTACCTCCTACAAAACAAATTGGAAACCAACATCCACATCCACAATGGATGTGATCGCAAAAACATGAGGGGGGGGGGAGTTTGCTGCGTTTAGCTACCGAGGGATCAACTGAGGAAACAAGTATCGGTAAAAGAAGCCAAATGCGGTTTCAAGGCCGAGAAATTAAAACGTCTTCCTGTTTCTGATAAGCTTCCTTTTCTTTTCTGTTGAAAGAGAACAGAAAGGATGCACGCTTTGACCTTGCTTTCGTTCGTTCCGCTCTGCTTTTCATGCTGTTATCATTGTCAACATCTATGTGTGCCTCTTTGTATTTATTACAAATATCAGTATAGTGGCCCGTTTCCTGCCCTGAATAGTGATTTAGTATCAATCTGTACACCTTTTTTTTTTAAGGATCTACTTTTTGTGATTCAAGATGTTATAAAGTGATACCCAGGTCCAGGTGACATTTCTGTAAAGACAAATTGAAGACGAAACTCATAAAAAGGGAAGTAGTTCACTTCTGGTGTCGCCTCATATAAAACAAATCAACCACACATCGGGATATTTTGGTACATCAGTTGAAGAAACACACAAATTTAGGATGTGATCATGATTCAATTTTTGCTTTTCAGCGTTTAATTAGAAGAAATGTGCACACATGAAGACAGGATTTGTGCAGAGCCCTGTATCCGAGACATTTCTGATGCTTGTACCTGCATCAGAATGACTCAGCTTCTAAGAACTTTTTGCTTTTCAGTCGTCTTGATAATTTCTAACGCTCGCTTTTCTTCTGCAAAACCGAACACTTGATCGCAAACAGACGTTGTAGAAAAGGGGAGACGTGCAAACCCCATGTGCTTCCTGCAGCACGCCTTCATACCCTGCACGACGGGAATTGTCTTCCGTGTCTCAACCTTGTCCATCCTGCTTAATCTGCAGTGAGCCAGCGGATCACTCCCTTTTAATCCAATCATCATCAACTCTCACATGAGGAGTTGATGTGAGGATAAGGCAATTGTTTGCACAGAAGCACCAGAATCACAATTTCACCCACAGGAGGACGCATGAAGATAACCACATTGAATGACCTCGAAGCTCCACCGGTGGGCTGAATTTTTCTATATTTAAAAAAAAAAAAAACTTAAATTGAAAAGGACAATAAGAGGGGACAAGAAAGTAATGTTTAACTTTACAGATATCTGGACCACACTCTACACCAAACTCCATTTGTCTTTTTATATGGTTTTGTTCACATCCAGTTTCTCATTGAATCACTGAGACATGAAGAAGCTGACTGAGTGATGCTAACACAATCTCAAAGTTGCTGGCTGCAGATAATCGTGCACCAAAGTGCGCGCACGTTCATTTCGGACGACGCAGACCCCCGTGACGTTGAAAAACCCCGAAATGATAACGTCGCCTTTCACAAACAAACTGGTGCTGAAGTGGGTTACAAATCTTGGTTTGAGCCTTTAAACTGATTAGAGGACACAGCATCGCATGCAGCTCTCACACGACCAGCAGGAGAAAAATCTTTGCAGCAGGAAACAGCATTTCCACCCCTCACCCTCCCAAAAAAACCCAAACAAACAACGAGGTTTAAATCTGACCTCATTGCTTCCTAAAAAATGAAAACGAAAGTAGGAGAAACAGACGGATGGAAAAAAAAAAAAGTCCACTCACCCATTTTTTGTTGTTGAGCTGTCGTGCGATCTGAGACAGAAAAAGGGAGAGCAGTCCCCAGATGATGTCCACAGGTTGTTTGGAGGGGGCAGCGGACTTACAACTGGACGTCCCGTTTGGGAATCAGGGGTGGTGGGGGTAGAGAGGGGATGACGTCATAGCCCTGCCAGACATGGATCAGACTTCTTGTATCCAAAAACACTACAAGTGTTCTGATTGGTTTCTTCCGAGCCTAATTATAACAAAATATTTTATTTCACTGATGTGTTTTTTTTTTGTACTAGTGCAGACAGGAGATGTGTTTTTTTTTTTCTTCATTTATTTACTATCCAGGATCACTCTCACTGGTTAGTACGCGTGTCGGCCTGGGTTCGAGTCCCTTCCCGCATGTCATCCCCCCACTCTCTCTACGATGTCTGAATCTATCCACTGGCCTATCTCTAAAGAAAAATACAAAAAAGCATAAAAATCCCCAAAATAAACCTGTAAAAAAAAAAATGTAAATGACTACAAGTCAGGACTACAAAACCCAGCATGCACAGCTGGAACGCAACTAATTGCATTTACTCAAGTATAGTTTTGAAAAGCTCTTACTAAACTTAAAATAGTTGAAGTTTCTGACATGTTATATTTCATTTAGAGGAATATGTTTTATGTTTGTTTTCTTTACTTCCTAAGCGGCAGCCACAGAGTATTTCCTAAAGTAAGAATACCAACTTTTAAAAATAGTTTTTTTTTTTTAGAGATATGACAACACTGGTTTCAAACTAACTGAAAAAAAACCCCTCATATGAGGTGTAGTGAATTGATGATGCAGAGATGGAGAAGTGTGCAGGATTTTGACTTTACAACGTGACAGTTTGAAAACAGAAGCACCTACTTCATGAGATAGTTGGATGGGCGAGCTCGTCCTTTTAAACTAATGGGGATGATTCTCTTACATAATATGCAGAAAGAATCTATCAGACTGAAACTTTCCAATTTAGAAACCAAGTGGAACATGTTTAATTAAAATTTAAAAAAAAGTCTGCTTTGGTAATGTGCTGCTTAAGAGCTGTTCTTAAATAACAGAGAAGTACCAGGAAAGCTTTTATTCCAAACATCAAACACTTTATTATAAACAGAATTTATATTTAAAAAACACATCCATCTGTTAAAAAAAAAAGAAAGAAAAGGTTGCCGGGTGTTGCGAGCAGGAGATAAAAGAGAATAATCAGCATCCCTCCTGAGAAACGCCATGAACAGCTTTGAACAGGATGTCAGAATCAGAAAAAGGCACGGTTTAGAAACGACAACAACAACAAATCGATCTTTCGTGTTTGTGGTTCACGTGGGGGGGGGGGATCAGAGGCAGCCATGCGGGAACACTTTTTCTGAATCTGAGTACAGGAGGAGGGTCGCTTGCTGTTTTTGTGGTTGAACCGAGTTGACAGGCGTAAGAGGAGCCACTGCGGCATGTAACATGGCGGAGCTGGAGGGTAAACAGGAGCAGATTAGGAGGAAAGCGGCGTTTGAATATATTTAAATCACCTGCAGCGGCGGCTCGGCTGCACCTCTGACCCTCAGCTGATGTTCACTGTGCTTTCAAATGAGAGAGAAGCTAAGTTAACTCGCTCCTGTAAATATGTAAAGCCGCACTTATTTAGCCAATAGGTAACAGGATGACCTTTTAACCCCTCAGGTGACCCGAACATGTCATCGCAGACCGGAGGAGACACGGGTCACAGCTTCAGCGGAATCACCGGCCAGTACTTGGGCTGTTTGCGGTCGCAGTTCCTGTCGAAAGCGAGCTGCATCGCCGCCTCCATGGCCATGATCTTTGCCGAGTCCTCGCCGTACAGCTTCTTCATCTCCGCCCCTCGTCTCTCGCCGGGCCGCTCGAGGGGAGGGGCCGCGCTGCCCCGCCAGGAGACGCTGTGCAGGTCCTGGTCTGCCGGCACGTAGCTGTCCTGCTGCTCCGCTTCCATCTGCTGTTGCTTCTCTGCAAGGACACGACAACACGTTCTTTTCTTTTTCAGCACAGCTCGTCCACCTTTAACCTTTTACCTTTTTTTTTTTCCCCCCTCTTTCTTAACATCTACTTACTCAGCTCCTCTTTGTGTTTTTCCGTCTGGGCGAAGTACTGCCGAAGCTCCTCGCTGATCTCCATGTTGCTGACGTCACACTCGATCTCGCTGTCCGAGCTGCTCCCCTCCTCCTCCTCCTCCTCCTCCTCCTCGCCCTCCTCCTCGTCCTCCTCAGAGCTACCATCTCCCTCGTGCCAGTCTGCATAACGCCGCTGGCCGCTGGCAGGCTGCCCCCGGCGGTATCCGGGGCCGTAGGCGGCCATCAAGGCCTTTCTGTAGGCGCGCCTGTGCCTCTGGTGCCACGCCATCGCCTGCTGGTAGTGCTGCCAGTAGCGGCTGTACACTGGGCTGGAGAACCAGGACATCACAGTGCTTATGTCCTCCTGCCAACAAGAAGCACGAGTACCATTTTATTCTTAATCTCACACCGTTCAGTCAAACAGCACCAGTTATTGTTTCATCTCAAATTAGCTTCTTTAAGATTCATTTTGCGTGAGAGCTGATGACTGAGCACTTGTAAGTGGAGGACTATTCATTCTTATCTAACAGGAGAGATGAAGTTGTGTACTTTTACATCCAGCTTCATGTTTACAGTCTCACATTTCATCATCTCCGTTTACTCACCATGACTGAAGATGCTGCAGTTGACTTCTAACTCTGCTAAAAACCACCTGATTCAGAAAGACAGCAGAAATATTGTGAGGAAAGCTGACTGCTGTGTCACCAGTAAGAGCATCAGTTCAGAGTAAAAACACTCAACACACACAAACGGGAGCGACATGCTGACATGTTGAAAACAGAAACACCTCTAAACTCTTCAATGTGGATAAAAACAACAGGATTAAATGTTACTTACAGCTTGCAGAAACACGCTGAAGTGCCTCTCTTTTAGTTTATATTTACCTCTGTGATGTTAACTTGTTCTGCAGCTCATGGTACTTCCTCTGAGAAAAATTTCCCAGCAGCCTTTGAGCCACTTTTTTTTAAGTAAAAAAACCTGCTTACGTGGCGCCACCCAGTGGACACAGTGCGAGCATGCAGCTTATCCGATTTCCAACAAGAGCCCTCGCCGCGGATCGTGGAATGTGGGCGGAGTGTTCTTATTGGATATCCCGGATGTTGTGACACAAACAGCACCATCTGCTGGATGAGCGTAGGTACTACAAATATATCTGTTAATAAATGTAAAAATGAGTGTTTTTATAATTATTATTATAATTATTATTATTCTGAATGGATAGTAGTAGTAAAGAATTTTTTTATTAATTAATTAATTAATTTATTTATTTATTTGTTTGGGACAGTGCATATTAATGAACAGCTGTTTATAACATTTTTTTTTACTTCTTTGACTTTATTTCCTCTGTATATTTACTTTTTTCATATTTAGAAATCCACAAAAAGATCACAAGACCATCAAACGTGTATGTTGGGTTTAAATGTTTCATCATCAAGTAGACAAAGCTGAAAACTCTGAAATGATATGAGTAAGGCTTGCACTGTGATATTTTAGGCAGGCGGTGTACAACAGAGTACTTTTGAGTGTTTGAGTGCTGAGAGACATATTTGACTGTAAATCTGGGTCATGCTTTGGCTCCGGGCTTCAAAGCTTTCAGAGAAAATGCAAAAAGACAGATGTGCCTCTTCCTAACACGTTCCCTCCTATGATGGATTTGTTAACACAAAGGAACACGTCTAAAAAAAAAAAAAGCATTGCATTTATTCCAGATTATTTTTAATCATTTTAGATTGTTTTAAATATACAATTTTTTGCAGCTTTGAAATCCTCCCTGTTTGCTGTGTTAGTGTTTCTTACATGTCTACAATGTTAACCTCAAAACCTAAAACTGACACCACATGTCACTTTGCATTTTCACATTTTCTTCCAGATAATCAAGCTCCTTGATTTTAAAATGGATAAAACTTAGAGCACCACGAGAGGTTTGTTTGGCTTGAATCATTTTAAGGATGCATTAATGTGATCAATGTCTGATCATGCATTCTTAGGAAATATCTAAATATAAATATCTATCATACAATTTAGCATAATTCAATCTAGCATTATACATTCATATCTCAAATGTCACATCTTCACAGAGCTTTTGTGCAGTTCAACCCTTGAGTTAATCCATGCAAAAATTAAAAAAATACCCTGCAGATGACCAAAAAAACAACATTCATTAATAAGGCATTTAACATCTTGCATGTATTGACAACTGGAGTGTCAATAGACAACACATATTACCTGCACTGTTAAATGTAGGTCACTCAGTACAATAAAGAGTGAACTACTCCCTCTGCTGGTAGACTTGAGTAATGATCCTAACTGTGCATCTCTGAACAGAATTCATACCTGTAATATGAAGCAATGAGCTACATGAGATTATATTTAATTTATTCTGTTGCTTTCTTTCAGTCAGGCTGAAGAATTGTAAAGGTTTCCGCGACACTGATTGCCCGAGGACACATCGGATGTGCGGCTGCAGGAGCTGGGGATCAAACTTTGTAATATTGATTGTTCCAAAGCTGAACTGTGAGTTGTTGGATTTGCATAGTATCATGGCAGACATTATGAAGAGCACTGTCAGTAATGATTTTTAAACTCCTTCACTTATGACTTTCACGCCCGTCTTGTGACCGCAGCTTAACCCAGTTTCTTCCTTCAGATCTGTTCCTGTCCTTCAGCAGCATTTCAACCACAAACTTACAGTCTCACCTTCATGCGAGGGCTGCAGCACAAACAACTTCAAAAAGTGTCAGCCTCCATGTTTGATGACTTCTAAACCATGGTTTCACAACCTGCCGTTGTGTGTCTGCATGAAGAGGTCTGCCTGCTCGACCCGTCACTGTTGTGGTTTCAGTTTGTGTGAAGCTGCTCTGCTCGACTCCGTTTCCTTTCCAGCCCAGACAGAAACAAAGCTTCGGCCTGAGAGAGGCGAAGAAAAGATGACCCGAAACATGAAGCCAAAGCTTTTAACAAGTAATGCTCCCAAGTTTTCACTGTAACTACTTGATGAAATCGTCAATGCTGCAGGAGAGGGGACTTTTTTTTATAAACATGCTTTATAAATAAATGTGACTTAATTTTGTTCCTTGTCAGACTGAGATGTGAAGTCCTGCAGGATGGAAACCCCGTCCTCAGAGTGACCACCAGCCACAACGACACCGCAGCAACCTTGATGGATCACAGTAGCATGCAGGTGATGGTTAGCCTACATTGTTTTTAGGGTTATATCTAAATATCTGACTCTTTGGGACTTGTTTTTCTCTGTTTTTAACCCTTTAAATCCTCGTCTCTCTGCTGTCCTCAGCTCCTGCAGGTGGCGTCCAGCAGCCATCGACTGGAGCAGAAGTTGGAGCGCTGCCTTTGGACCCAGAAGGTTTTAATTATCCTCTTAACATGTCTGAGCGCTCTGTGGGGTCTGACTCTTTTTATCCACTGGTCAGCTGCCTATTGGATCACAGCTTTGAAGTGTGATCCATATCAATGTATACGGGGATGTCTGCAGAGGTTTGTGTACCTCTCTATCGATACTAAAGGGTTGAACACAAACATAATGGACATTACATTTCTCTCTGGAAACTCATCATGTTTAATCTCAAACTATGATGTGTGTACTGCAACACTTCACAATAAAATGTCTTCAAACTACGAGACCATAAGTGATGATTCTAGAGTCTGGTGGGGCCCTCCAACCAGCGTTCATCAACCATCATGTCTGCCAGTGTCCCAATGCGTTCCTGTTAATTTTTTCTCTTGTATTAGAAGGATAATTCCTCTTCATTTGTCTTTGTTCACTTCATTGCCAAACTTTGGTTTTCACTGCAATAACGCATGCAACGCTTAGCAGGGCAATGAGAGTGAGTGCTGTCAGATGGGGCCTCTTAGGAAGGCTCCCTCAGTCATTGCAAAATTTGCACATTTGGGGCCACTGCTTTGGTTTAAGTTCGTGACCCTATTGGTCTGGGGCTCCAAGAAGTTGCCTTCCTTGCCTGTTGATAAGCAGCACCTCTGGATGCTCTAGCTATAGTGTAATATATCAATATATAACAGGGATATTCATTGTGCACCATGATGGGGGAATTAAGAGCAGCTTAAAGTTTCAAAAACCTCAACACAACAAAAAGACTCCTAATGTACAATTCTTACATTCCTGTGTCTAAAAGTGAAGTGATGTTGAAAGTAGAAGCAGCAAAGGTCACTTCTGTTTCACATTTCTCGTTTGTTCTTCAATGAGATTTCAGAGTGTGAGGTCGTCGTGTGTCCACTAATAGTTCAGAGAGCTTCTTCAGCAGTCACTTTTGGATATTTGCTTCAGTATGTGCGGATTAAAAAATGTGTTTCTTCTTCTTTTGGCGCTCTGTGTGTCACGGTGCGCTCTCGTTAATGGTAAATCTTTTTTTTTTTTTTTTGAATATCTCCTATGATTAATGTTGTTTTGCTCATTTTACTGCAGTTAGAAAACGCACAGTGCGTGATCCGCGTGTCGCTGAATGTTCTTTCTTTTGGATTCTAGAGACAGTTGTGAAAACGGTTGGACGAGAGTCTGGTTTCTCTCCAGTCTGCTCCAGGAAAAGCCTGGGCGACATTGTATTTGTGAGCTGCAGAATCAACACGGGGAGACACCACGGCAAAGAGTGTGATCTGCAACCGGACAAGCTGGACTGCGACTTTGACTCCCGCTTCACTCTGGTGAAAATGAAGCAGACGGTTTACCTCGGCTTCTCTGGTTTAACACCAGTGGACAGTGGGAGCTACACCTGTGAGTGCTCATATGAAAGAGGAACGCACGTTATCCAGCTCAACATATCTGTGGAAGGTACGACGATTTAAGATGTTACAGAGAAAATAACACACACAATAAAAACACATTTTGGATACAGATGGTTGTTGACGTTTGTTTTGATGATGTGTAGCAGAAGAAGAGGACAATGAGATGATTTCTACACTCGTGATCCCTCTAGCTGTTGCCTCAACATTAGTCATCACAGCTGGAATAATCGGATCTATTTACTGCAGAAGAAAGCGTAACAGGTGAGACACTTCTGCAAATTCCTCAAACAAAGAAAACACCATGATACTACTTTACACGCAAAAAAAAACCCCTCTGCTGCGGTGTTAAAACCATTTGCATTTGTTAAAGGTATTTATTTTGTGGCTTTTTTTCGAGCCCAGGCTGCTCACTTGGAGGACTGTAGCCTCAGTATGTGGCCCACGCACTAACCACGAGGCTGCAGACACCCCCATCCATCTGCACATTTTAGCTAGGTTGAGCTGTCGTTTGGTGTTTAAAAAGCTATAGCTCATTTAAAACTCATTTAGTTTAATTCTGGAGAGGTTCATGACTAACTCTGACATTACACTTGCAGAGAAGTCCCAACAGCCGTTGCATGTGAATTCAGCAGATGTGAAACTCCCGAGGGTTTGGACAGCACATACACTTCTCTAAATTGCTTGGTAAAAATGGCTGGTGTAAAGTGTATGGCGTCTTACATTTTTTAATGAACATTTGAGAAGTTTGAAAGTTTTCTCACATTTCGATGCCTCCTCCATAGGACCAGGATGAACTGTACGCAGACCTCGAGCAGACGACCTGTAACATCTACCCGGCTTTCTCATCATATTTCCTTGAACATGATGCTGACTCTGAGATACAGCCAACTGACATGCTCCATGAAACTATGATAGACTATGACTAAATTATGTGTATGTGTTCAACACATTTGGAAATACTCTGAAAATTGATTTACAAGCATAGCACTGATAAAGGTTTTTTTTCGACTTTATTGCCTAAAATGATGATTTGATGATGATGGTTTTGTGTGATAATGATGTTTTTTTTGATGCCTTTAAGAACTCTTAAGAGCTGTCGATGCTTTGCCTGTTAGCAAAACTTACAGCTGTTTGTTTGCACTTCCTTTCCTTGTTTCCTCATTTCCTTATCCTTGCTTGTTGGACCTATACTCTCTGATGTACGTTGAGGCAGCACCAGAAACTCTTGTATTCTGTCAAAAAACATGAACTGTTTTTGTCAATGGGGTCTGGTGGTTTTGCAAATGTGTGAAGACTCTTCAGCACGATGCATTTTTGTTGTTGTTTCCATCGTAATTTACTGGTATCATTCTACATATATACCATCTGAGTATCAGATCTGCAGTAAATGGAGCGATGCATTGTTTTCTGACTTGCTCATTGTGTAATGTGTTAAAACATTAAAGCAGAAACAGTCGGGTCGTGCACTTCCTTTAAAAAGACTTTACACCAGCCTGTTGAGTGTTTGAGGTTTATGTAGCCAGATGAAGAAGGTTGGTCCTCCTACCTTCACTACAGCTCACTGTACTCCCACAGCAGCAGTGAAACTGTTCAGAAGTTTGTCCAGAATGGGCCGACGGAAACTGCTGTTTGTTCTGCTTCTGATGCTAATGCTTTACGTCGACAGCAAAGGTAATGTACAAGTCTTTTAAATGCAACTGAAAACGTCTGATTTCCTTTTGAATGTTTGATATAATTCTGTAATTTTTATCATTCTTTTGCATATTAAAAACATGAATCAATTTAAGCTAAATTGAGCTAAATGCTAATTTGTATTTGGGATTGCAGCGTCTCTCATACATCTTGAGAAAACCACGGGCAGAGAACCAAATGTCACACCGATATGCAGCAGCTCAAACATGAGTATCATCACCCTGATCGTTTGTAAAGTCCGCATGGAGATGAGTCCTGGAGAAGAGTGTCGTTGCTGTATCGACTCGGACGTGGTTTTGAGCACAAATGTAACCCAAGAGTCCGACTTAAGAAAGAGAATGAGACGATGTTTCTGGATTTAACCAGTTTAACACCAATGGATAGTGGGAACTACACCTGTGAATGCTCACACCCTACGGGAACACAGATCATCCATTTCAACATCACCGTGAAAGGTAAAGTCTTTTAATTTGTTTGTTTTAAACTTTATACATTTCTCTGGTTATTTTCCATCCCGGTGATCAACGTCAAAATGTCTTTATCTAAAGATAGTTTAAAATATAGTGTTGAACATTTCTGTAGAGATTTTGGTCAGCATTGACATGATAGCATCAGATGCGGCAGATTTTGAAGGTGCTCTTTTGGGTTGAGATCTGGTGACTGTGGCCATTTGAGTACAGGGAACTCATTGTCATGTTGAAGAACTGTGGTCATAAAGGGATGGACACAGGGACACAGGGACCTCGGTTGTAACCTGTAGTTATTTGAGTTACTGTTGCCTTTCTATCAGCTCGAACCAGTCCGACTATTCTCCCCTGACCTCAACAAGGCATTACCGCCCAGAGAACTGACGCTCACTGGATATTTTCTCTTTTTCGGACCATTCTCTGTAAACCCTTGAGATGGTCGTGCGGGAAAATCCGAGTAGATGAGCAGTTGCTGAAATACTCCACCAACAGCAATGCCACGTTCAAAGTCACTTAAATCAACTTTTTTCACCATTCTGGTTCTCGGTTTGAACATCACAAGATCGTCTTGACCATGTCGACATGCCTAAGTGCATTGAGTTGCTGCCATGTGATAGGCTGATTAGATATTTGCATTAACAAGCAGTTGAGCAGATGTACCTATAAAGTGGCCGGTGAGTGTAAATATACTGTTTCTAAAAGTTCTTTAAAGATGGTGAAAAAACTAATGATACCTCCCTGATCTTTATGTTTTAAGGGGATGAAGCCACAAGCGGCGTCACTGAAATCTCTTCTGTAAAGCTGCTTGTAATCGGTGTGATCATAATAATCATAATCAGTGGAGTTATCCTTGGATTTCTCTATAGAATGATCCATCATGGGTAAGAAACTAATCAGGAAGAAATACAATAAATGAACTGAGAAAAAGCTCCAAAAGTTACTGATCTTTCTGTGTCATTTAAGCAACAGAAGACAACAGGACCTACCACCAAGTCCACCAGTTACGGTACAACGCATTAAAACATCAGTAGGATTTATGACGCTTGACGTTATCCATATTCTGTTAAACATTGTGTTCGTTTGCAGGAGCTCATAGAAGACATCGAGCCGTACAGCACCTTCATGCAGAGAGAGAACGTACTTTACTCTGTTCTCCAAATGCCCAGTCGTAAAACCAGAAGGAACCGGTCAACTAGGATGACACCAATTTACGGAAACCTTTAAATACTTCTTATTGTACGATCTCTACTCTAATATGATGCATGGAAAACAAGTGAAACAAGATTTTGGGTCCATAAAAATGCAATATTGGGAGGTGTACCTTCCCATTAAGCTGTCTGACAAACAATACATGAATGTTCTCAAGTGTATAAATGATTCTGTAAGAACAGCTACAAACCTTATAATTAAATATATCGACCTTCTTTAAGAACTATTTGTCAGTGTTTAGTTTCTCTTCAGGTCTCATCATTTCATCGGGGCTTTAAATTTGAGTTGTTAAACATCAGATGTTCAGTTAATCAAGTCCTGCTGTTGGCCTCACGTTTACATTTTTTAGTTTCCATCATGAACTTCCTGTTTTTGCAAACAATCTACCTTGCGGCTTTCTTTTAAGCCGCCTCCATCACGTTGCGGACGCCCCTCCGCCTCCTTCACATTTCCTTCACTCAGTGGTCTGCACAGAGACGGCCTTACAGAGTGAGAACCAGCGGACGCCTCTTCATCTTCTTTTACAGATATTTCCATCTCATGCTTTGTATTGCTGGTGTCCTTGCTGGTAACATGGATTCTCTTCTCCTTTCGGGTGATGGTGGCTGCCTCATAAACCTTTGAACCATCTGAGTATCAGATTAAAGGCCTGAGGTGGATGGAGCGATTCATTAGCATTGTTTTCTGACAAAAACATTAAAGCAGAAACAGTCTGGTGTGCACTTCCTTTAAAAAGACTTTACACAAGCCTGTTGGGGTTTGAGGTTTATGTAGCCAAAGGAAGAAGGTTGGTCCTCTTGCCTTCACTACAGCTCACTGTCAGCAGTGAAACTGTTCAGAAGTTTGTCCAGAATGGGCCGACAGAAACTGCTGTTTGTTCTGCTTCTGATGCTAACGCTTTACGTCGACAGCAAAGGTAATGTACAAGTCTTTTAAATACAACTAAAAACGTCTGATTTCCTTTTGTATGTTTGATATAATGTTGTTGTTTTTTTTGCATGTTAAAAACATGAATCAATTTCAGATAAATTGAACTAAATCCTAATTTGTATTTGGGATTGCAGCGTCTCTCATACATCTTGAGAAAACCACGGGCAGAGAACCAAATGTCACACCGATATGCAGCAGCTCAAACATGAGTATCATCAGCCTGATCATTTGTAAAGTCCGCATGGAGATGAGTCCTGGAGAAGAGTGTCAATTGCTGTATCGACTCGGACATGATTTTGAGCACAAATGTAACCCAAGAGTCCGACTTAAGAAAGAGAATGAGACGATGTTTCTGGATTTAACCAGTTTAACACCAATGGATAGTGGGATCTACACCTGTGAATGCTCACTCCCTGGGGCAACAAAGATCATCCACCTCAACATCACCGTGAAAGGTAAAGTCTTTTAATTTGTTTGTTTTAAACTTTATACATTTCTCTGGTTATTTTCCATCCCGGTGATCAACGTCAAAAAATGTCTTTATAATAAGATAGTTTAAAATATAGTGTTGAACATTTCTGTAGAGATTTTGGTCAACATTGACATGATAGCATCAGATGCGGCAGATTTTGAAGGTGCTCTTTTGGGTTGAGATCTGGTGACTGTGGAGGCCATTTGAGTACAGGGAACTCATTGTCATGTTGAAGAACTGTGGTCATAAAGGGATGGACATGGTCAGCAGTGATGCTCAGGTTGGAGTTTAAATGATGCTCAGTTAGTACACAGGGACCTCGGTTGTAACCTGTAGTTATTTGAGTTACTGTTGCCTTTCTATCAGCTCGAACCAGTCCGACTATTCTCCCCTGACCTCAACAAGGCATTACCGCCCAGAGAACTGATGCTCACTGGATATTTTCTCTTTTTCGGACCATTCTCTGTAAACCCTTGAGATTGTTATGCGGGAAAATCCGAGTAGATGAGCAGTTGCTGAAATACTCCACCAACAGCAATGCCACGTTCAAAGTCCCTTAAATCAACTTTTTTCACCATTCTGGTTCTCGGTTTGAACATCACAAGATCGTCTTGACCATGTCGACATGCCTAAGTGCATTGAGTTGCTGCCATGTGATAGGCTGATTAGATATTTGCATTAATAAGCAGTTGAGCAGATGCACCTATAAAGTGGCCGGTGAGTGTAAATATACTGTTTCTAAAAGTTCTTTAAAGATGATGAAAAAGCTAATGATACCTCCCTGATCTTTATGTTTTAAGGGGATGAAGCCACAAGCGGCGTCACTGAAATCTCTTCTGTAAAGCTGCTTGTAATCGGTGTGATCATAATAATCATAATCAGTGGAGTTATCCTTGGATTTCTCTACAGAATGATCCATCATGGGTAAGAAACTAATCAGGAAGAAATACAATAAATGAACTGAGAAAAAGCTCCAAAAGTTACTGATCTTTCTGTGTCATTTAAGCAACAGAAGACAACAGGACCTACCACCAAGTCCACCAGTTACGGTACATCGCATTAAAACATCAGTAGGATTTTATGACGCTTGACGTTATCCGTATTCTGTTAAACATTGTGTTCGTTTGCAGGAGCTCATAGAAGACATCGAGCCGTACAGCACCTTCGTGCAGAGAGAGAACGTACTTTACTCTGTTCTCAAAATGCCCAGTCGTAAAAACCAGAAGGAACCAGTCAACTAGGATGACACCAATTTACGGAAACCTTTAAATACTTCTTATTGTACGATCTCTACTCTAATGTGATGCATGGAAAACAAGTGAAACAAGATTTTGGGTCCATAAAAATGCAATATTGGGAGGTGTACCTTCGTTTTTAACCCATTAAGCTGTCTGACAAACAATACATGAATGTTCTCAAGTGTATAAATGATCCTGAAAGAACAGTTACAAACCTTTTAATTAAATATATCGACCTTCTTTAAGAACTATTGGTCAGTGTTTAATATCTCTTCAGGTTTCATAATTTCATCGGGGGTTTAAATTTGAGTTAATCAAGTCCTGACAGAAGTCGGAACGCCTCTCCATCTTGTTTAACAGATGTTTCCAGACAGTAGTTCTTACATTATGAGGGTTCTTATGATAGTTGGGTTAATTATGTTTGGGTTCTCATGCTTTGTGTTGCTGGTGTCCTTGCTGGTAACATGGATTCTCTTCTCCTTTCGGGTGATGGTGGCTGCCTCATAAACCTTTGAACCATCTGAGTATCAGATTAAAGGCCTGAGATAGATGGAGCAATTCATTAGCATTGTTTTCTGACAAAAACATTAAAGCAGAAACAGTCTGGTTGTGCACTTCCTTTGAGAAGACTTTACACCAGCCTGTTGGGGTTTGAGGTTTATGTAGCCAAAGGAAGAAGGTTGGTCCTCTTGCCTTCACTACAGCTCACTGTCAGCAGTGAAACTGTTCAGAAGTTTGTCCAGAATGGGCCGACGGAAACTGCTGTTTGTTCTGCTTCTGATGCTAACGCTTTACGTCGACAGCAAAGGTAATGTACAAGTCTTTTAAATGCAACTGAAAACGTCTGATTTCCTTTTGTATGTTTGATATAATCCTGTTTTTTGTTTTTTTTGCATGTTAAAAACAAGAATCAATTTAAGCTAAATTGAGCTAAATGCTAATTTGTATTTGGGATTGCAGCGTCTCTCATACATCTTGAGAAAACCACGGGCAGAGAACCAAATGTCACACCGATATGCAGCAGCTCAAACATGAGTATCATCAGCCTGATCATTTGTAAAGTCCGCATGGTGATGAGTCCTGGAGAAGAGTGTCGTTTGCTGTACCGACACGGACATGATTTTGAGCACAAATGTAACCCAAGAGTCCGACTTAAGAAAGAGAATGAGACGATGTTTCTGGATTTAACCAGTTTAACACCAATGGATAGTGGGATCTACACCTGTGAATGCTCACGGAACACAGACCCTCCATCTCAACATCACCGTGAAAGGTAAAGTCGAGGTGTACCTTCTTTTCCAGAACGTTTACTCATCCATAGATTTGCTTTGTGCTTTTCACTCTGATATTCTTTTCTATGAATGTAGTTGATTTAGTCAGTGTGGTGTAATGGAGCTCAATGAGTGCATTAAACTGTCTGACAAACAATACATGAATGTGAAAAGGACAAATCTCATGTTCTCATGTGTATCATCTCTAGAAATGATTCTGTAAGAACAGTTACAAACCTTTTAATTAAATATATCGACCTTCTTTAAGAACTATTTGTCAGTGTTTAATATCTCTTCAGGTCTCATCATTTCATCGGGGCTTTAAATTTGAGTTGTTAAACATCAGATGTTCAGTTAATCAAGTCCTGCTGTTGGCCTCACGTTTACATTTTTTAGTTTCCATCGTGAACTTCCTGTTTTTGCAAACAATCTACCTTGCGGCTTTCTTTTAAGCCGCCTCCATCACGTTGCGGACGCCCCTCCGCCTCCTTACCATTTCCTCGCTCAGTGGTCTGCACAGAGACGGCCTTACAGAGTGAGAACCAGCGGTCGCCTCTTCATCTTCTTTTACAGATATTTCCAGACAGTGGTTGTGGTTTAAACTGATGCTAACGTACATGAAGCAGCTTAAAAGGGTTCAATAGACGCAGAGTTACTGTTCTAATACCAACGAATAACCCACTATAACTCAATGTCGTGTGAAAGTGTTACCTCTATAGTTCACTTTAAAGCGTGAGAATGCGGTCTACCAATGACTTGCCTACAATAAAGCACAAAGGATGCAGACAAAATGTTCAGTTCCTGACTGCTCAGATGAAAAAACTCATTGATGCATTGAATAAACAAGTAAAATTAACAAACAAAGACAAAACCCCAATTAAATTAAATTCTAAAATCACACATGGTGGACACATGCTCTGTTGAAGTGTGTCCTCCCCCTTAGTTGCGTTTCAGTCCTGAATTGTCTTGATTTGTCTCGACCAGAGGAGGTAGGCAGTTTTAAGGCACCCCCCCCCCCCACGGCCGTTCTTGACATCCCTCAGTTTGCCGGGCAAACCGACAGGTGTGAACTGGTTCAGATATAACTGATTCTACCCGACCTCGTCTTTTTTCTAATGAGCTCCACGACCAGAAACCTGGTGAAACTTTAAGATAAATATTGGAGACGCTTGGAGAGGTTAGAACGCAGAACGGTTTCAATACAGAATGAGAGCTGGCTAAACACTGAAGCTTCAGTGTCCACGACATGGCAACCTGCATCGACTCGAGGGAGGAGAGGGCAGGGAGACGGCTCTATTCAGTGTTTTGAATTTACAGAAACAATTTTAAAGAGTCAGAGTTACAGATTGATCCTTATGATATCATAAAACCTCGACGCCCTTAACTCTTTTTAAATTAACTAAAGGAGGAGTCTTTTCTTTCTGAGGTCATTTAGAGGCATCAGTTTATATTTCTTTCTGGCTCCTCAGAGTTTATTCAAACGAAAATAAAAGATAATAAAGATAATAAAATTCTCCCACAGAGCGTCTTCACTTGATAGCACAGGAAGTCGAGTCTCGTGTGTCCCTTTTTAGCACACATTAGATCAGCTCATGCACTCGTGAGGTATTTTGGGTCAAGGTAACAAAAAAGGACACATCAGTCTTCCCTCTCCTCAGCGTCGAACACAGATTACTGACTGTTCAGTGTTGTTCAGACCTCATGGGATTATGTTTCACTGGGAGCTCTGGTTTCTTCTTCTGCTGCCGCTGTGTTTGTGTTTCGGCTCTGAAGGTACCGACTTCTTATACATCACCTTTTTAAAACTCTTTGACTTTTTGCAACATTGCAAAAATACAGCAACAACTAACTCAGACTGCGTTTGGTATTGTCATGTCAGTGATTGTTGTAAAGATTTAATTCAATATAAATGTGTTCATTAAGGAAACAATCATTTCCTTATATTGTTTGCAGCAGGGTCCGAGAAGAGCTGTGGAAGAAAACTCAATGAAACAGATGCTGAAGGTAGGCCTGTACAGGAACATTTATTCGAAACAGTACACAGTGAGCCAGTGTGACAGCTCTGTGGAATCATTGTAGCTTATAGTAAATATGCTAACTTCAAATATTACAGCGTTTATCCCGCCATAATATATTATTAGAAAAAAATGCATTAATAGATTATGAGTCCAGATTTATTTTCTATGTTTGCAGAGACTCTGGTGAAAACCATCGGGACAGAACCAGAGGTTACAGCGTTATGCTCCAATGACACAGAGAATTTCATCACACTGATAATTTGTCAGATCAGCACAAAGAGAAGATGGAGAAACGAATCTTGTTTGTTTTATCGACATGAACAAGGCTTTGAGAATAAATGTGAATCAGGAGTCAAACTTCTGACAGAGACTCAGACGGTGTTTCTTCAGTTGAGCAGTTTAACACCAGAGGATGAAGGGAGCTACACCTGTGAGTGTTCATGTGGGGATGGAACTTATACTACCTATCTGAATGTCACTGTGGAAGGTAAGCGCTAAATTTAAACTCGAACATCAACTAAAAAAAATCTGATTTTTATGACTTTGGCTCACATTATTCCCTGCTATGTTAACTCGACTGGCGTCAAATGAAGAGCCGTCAAACGTCAGTCTTCTGCAATCCTTCCGCTGGGTTTTCATCGTCATGACGACTGCCCTTCCTGCATTTATCATCATCACTGGAATTGTGGTTGGATGCACTCTAAGAAAATCCTGCAGGTGAAACTGTCTATACATCTTTGTGTGTTAAGCCTTGTAAATGAATGTAGCATCATTATTGACAAATCCTGTGTGTATTCAACATATTCAACATTTTCACAGCAAGTAATAAAACCTTTTCTTGTTTATAGAAATAATACGAGGTCAGAAGCGTCTGGGTTACCTGTGCAGGAAGCACCCTGCTCTTTGGTGAGCCACACTTTTTGTCCTCTATACTTTTGAAGATCTTTTCTTTTTTTCTTTCTGCATTTTTGAAACGTTTTTTTCAGCTCCAAACCCGTAACAATCCTCCTGTGCAATTCTTCTGTTTTCAGAATATTTAGATGCACATGAGCATGTAATAGTAGTAATACATGCTCCATTAAATGTGCCTTTCTGATCTCTAATAGATGTGTCAGTTTTACACAGTAGGAGCTCTACTAAGGGCGAAAATGCTTTGTGAATAACTTTAACCTTTACAAGGATCTAGTCTTTACTTTAAGAGGAAATTCTTAAAAAATTTCATGCATCTAAGATGTTGCTTAGAATTTTGTCACTCGGTGCAACTCTTAGAATTTAGGAGCCAGTCAGCAATCAAAGGCAAGAGGGCGGCGCCTCCAATAAACCAGCAAACCAGCCATAACTGACCACCAGAGGACGCCAAAGCTCTGAAACAGAAACAGGACAACAGTACCTGCAGGCAAAACACATGTGACCAGGGCAGTCTGAAGTTCATTGGAGGCTGTTTGACTTTGACTTTATATTTGGGCATGATCAGAAGTCAAAGAAAGTATCAAGGGCAGTTTTCCACTTGGAGTCTCATGTAAGAGGGGATCTGTGACAGGCAGAAGGAATGACTAACTAGTTTCAGTGCATTGTTTGAAGTCCTGGTTTTGCTCCAGTCCAGACATTAAAGGTCATCTTGATTATAATCGATAAAGTCTGATAACAGTGAAAGGATAGGAGATCATTTTAAGATTTGACCTACAGTGCACTTCAGTCAGACTTTTAAAACACTTTCATATGATATTTAATGTTTCCATAGGACCGAGGTGAACCAGATAACCTCTACGAAAGCCTTCAACAACCACTAAGTGACGTCTATCAAACCATCTCCTCAGTGCATCATCCGCACGACGCCAAGAGCGACAACGCAGCAACTGCACATCAAGAAATAGACGATACAGAGATCGAGCAACGGGAAGACTATGAAAACCTTTGAATCAAATGAAGAAAACGTGCTGTAAAAGGAGGATGTATCTGTTGGCATTATCAGACTTTAACAAACACATCGACTTCTTCAGGAAACTGAAAAACCTGCAGCTTCAGTTTCCTCCATGTGAACTTCCTTTATGAAAACGTGTCACATCCCGATTTATGATTTAGTACAAGTCGGTCAGTTCGGGAGCCGAAAACTGGTAACAATTGTAATCTGATACCAAATGACTGGTTACAGATGTGCTGATGTTCCGTGAAACAGCACAACCTCACGTGTCATATTTCTTTTATTCCACATTATTACAGTCAATAAATAGATATATTAAACAACCTCAGATTTTGTTTTTTTTACCTGCTACTTTGCATTATGTATTTTGTGTATGTTTCTACTTATCGGCATCCTGTGAAGAAATTCTGTTAATGATTGTTTTTGGTGACGTGTGATTTAAAGGTACCAGATTGATCAAGACAACCACTGTGTGCTGTGATGTTTTTCACCGTGTTTATAGGACGTCTAAGACGGAGTGAGACACATAGTTAGAAGCTGATGTCGTCGATATCAGCACTCCTGAAATGCCTCCAGTCCAATCATTAGAACTATAGACTATATGCAAATGGACGGCGTCCCTCAGCCTCCTTCTGTTGAACCCAGTGAAGCCAGAATATCCTGTGACGGGCGCTTACATATTCTGAATTTAAAACCAGAGTCTGCGCAGTAGGTACCTGCTGGAAGAATATGATCAAGGCTACAAACATGGAGACCGAAATAAAAGATAAGAACGCTGCAGATTTTGCAAGTTTAACCCAGAGAAGAATTGAACATAAAATCCCCCGAAAAAAAAACCCAAAAGTGACCGGAGACCCCGGCCAAAAAGAACAAATGAGTCTGCAGTTTGTTACAATCATACGTTGCTGCTCGTAGTTTCATAACTTGAGTTGAGTTTTAAGCTATTCTTGACACTTGCAGTAGTCAGGTCATTAGAGTGCTATTTGAACACATCACATTGGTTTCCTTGTGAGAGATTCAAGATGATATAAATGAGGTGACGGCAGTGTGAGCTACTTCAGGCAGAGATTAAAATGTTTTTTATTGTCAGACAGCCATGCTTACTTTGAAATCTCAAATTGAGGGGACTGGTTTAAAAAAAGGAGCGCTGTGAAACTGTGTGGCGGTTAGAAACTGCTAGCAAAAATGTATTTTGAAAAGAATGCCTGCAGACCTAGAGTAGATACTGTTTGTATGTTAATCATGACTTTATTAAGACAATTAAAAAAAGAGGTGGCTTAACTTGCTTGCATGTAATTGCCCCAAAGAAAGACATTGCAGCGGTTTGCAGCAGACTTGTGGTTACAGGGTCGAGGATGTTAAAGAGTGACTGTTTATAACACATGCTGGTGTAGAGTTATAAGAGTGCGATGTGGTGATGACGCACTGGTTTCCTTGTGAGCGTCATCATTTCTCTGAGCTGCAGAGGCCACAGAACTTTCTATTTATTGCTGAAGCACAGTCCTCTATATATGTCATGGCCACAAAAGCGATCAGCTCAGCTTAAGCGGGTCCTGTGACACAACACTCCCTCTCACTTAAGATTCACACTGAAAGACCATTGTAGGAAGCTCTTAATATTGATTAGACTCTTGGTGGATGCAGCTGAAACTGGAGCATGAGAACTGCAGGCTACAAGAAAGGTGTTGAAGTTACAATAAGATTACTGTCATGTGAAAGAAGAAGTGTCAAGCAGGACTTCCTTTATAGAAGATTTCTCACTACCGAGAGTCCGAACACTAAACAGTGCAACAAGGTGTTTTTATCTTCAGTGTAGTGTTGTGCTCAGCCCGCTGAAGTTCGCTTTTTTTGCCCAGGATGGCAAAATGGACCTTGTGCTTCGCTCTGCTTTTGCCACCAATAGTGTTTTTTGGAAAGACAGGTAATGTACACAAGCTCCTTTTACTTCTTCATGTTGTCCTGATTTTGGTTTAAAGAAGGCAACGACACATTTTCTGCAGTTATCTGTTTTTCTGGTGTAATAAACATTTTGATTAACTGTTTGCAACATTTAAAAAAATACAGCAACAGATAGCTCAGACTGTGTTTGGTATCGTCATGTCAGTGATTGTTGTAAAGATTTCATTAATTATATAAGTGTTCATGAAGCAAAGAATCATTTCCTCCTAGTGTTTGCAGCAGCTTCTGAGAAGATCTGTGGAAGAAAACACAGTAAAACAGATGCTGAAGGTAAGCCTGTACAGGAACATTTATTCTAAACAGTACACAGTGAGCCAGTGTGACAGCTCTGTGGAATCATTGTAGCTTATAGTAAATATGCTAACTTCAAATATTACAGAGTTTATCCCGCCATAATATATTATTAGAAAAAAATGCATTAATAGATTATGAGTCCAGATTTATTTTCTATGTTTGCAGAGACTCTGGTGAAAACCATCGGGACAGAACCAGATGTTACACTGTTATGCTCCAACGACACAGAGAATTTCATCATACTGATAATTTGTCAGATCAGCACAAAGAGAAGAAGGAGAAACGAATCTTGTTTGTCTTATCGACATGAAATTGGCTTTGAGAATAAATGTGAATCAGGAGTCAAACTTCTGACAGAGACTCAGACGGTGTTTCTTCAGTTGAGCAGTTTAACACAAGAGGATGAAGGGAGCTACACCTGTGAGTGTTCATGTGGGGTGGAACTTATACTACCCATCTGAATGTCACTGTGGAAGGTAATTTAAATTTCCCCTCATACTTAATGTAATCCAAGCTCCTTCTTTTATCATAGCTGTAAAACTCCTGTATTATCCAGCTTGTTCTTAAAGCTCCCAAAAACATGTTTCTTGTTCTAAATCCACTCTGATCCTGTATTTGATCATGCTTATAAACCCCTTTTCATCAGCCCTGCTCAGAACAGGCTGTTTCTGTGTCTGTACCTTTAAATATGTAAATGAGCTGTGACCACGTCCCCTCTCTGTGACTTGTGCTTTCTCGCTCCATGCTCTATTGTTTATGGTGAGAAGGCGGACTCAAAGGGCAGAACAAAGACCTACCTGTGGGAGGGTCAGACGTGATGTTTTTCTTGATGGGTGTTACTGCAGTCGTGATCATAACTGCAGTAATCATCGGATTTATCTACAGACACATGCGCCGCAGGTAAGAGACTACTTTTAAATCAATAATAACATGTTTAAGCAATGCTTAACTTGTGAGACAAGAGTGATTTCCAACCAAGTAATCTGATTGGATAAGAGGCATTGTGAATGTGATGTAGAGTGTAAAAGCACATGAGCTAATATCAATAATTATTACTCTGCTTTAGACATCCTGGATACAGTAAAATGTCCCGACTCTCCGCCCCAGGGGTGTGTCCAGATGGGTGGCCAGGGGTGGCATGGGCCCCCCTGGTGCCACCACAAAAATCCTAAATAGAAGTCAATAAAAACATTAAACAGAAATAGACAAAAAACAGCATCAGTTATTTTCAGTCGAATACATTTTAAGATCTTGATATATTCATATGAGGTAGTGACACACGATAGATGGTGTTCATTTACTTCTGTTCTGAAAAGCTGACTGAAAAACGCACCGTGAAGATTTATTACAAATGTGTTGTTTCACCTTTCAGAAAACTGAGACAACCGCTGAACAGTCTTCAAATCATGGTACAGTCAAGAAAAAAACATCTTTTTTTTTTAAATTAATTTTTGCAAATTATTTAACGTAACTGTATTTTTATCTGTGTCTTTCCTAAGGAGCCTTATGACATTGAACCGTACAGCACCTTCACACGGACAGACTGTGCGCTTTATTCAACCGTCAATCTGCACGGCTGTAACATAAACACCAACAATTCAAACACGTTTACCAGAGAGGAAATGCATGCAGGGAAGTTTTTGTAAATTTTGAGTTCTTGTCTTCAACTTTTTCCAATGCACATTGATGAAAAACCACTGTGGATTCACCAGCGTGACCCATAGGTGTAATCTCAATGGCTGTCCTTATTCATGAGGGAAGTATGTGTAGCATGTGCTCAAAGTTAAAGTAGGCCCACTGTCCACATGATGGCACTGTTTTACTTTCTGACGAGTCCCTATGTTTCATTCATTCTGGTCATTCTGTTTTTTTCACTCTTAACAACTGTGATGCTCAACCAGCTTTATGACAAATACCTTTAAACTTTGATTCATAGCCCAAGGTTTTTATTAGTTTATAGTGACCCTGCTTTTATTTGAGACAGGTGTAAATACATTTTGTACATGCTAAAGAGAAGTCCTCTGTGCACACACATGGAGTGCAGGAAAACTAGTTCATACATTTGTTACCTCCAGGTTGGATTATTGTATGTAAATGGGCTGTGTCTGTACCTTTAAATATGTAAATGAGCAGTGTCTGACCCCGCCCCCTCTCTGGAAGGGCTTGGGTGGCTTGTGCTTTCTCGCTCCATGCCCAATTATTTACAGCCAGAAGGCAGACTCAGAGGGCAGAACAAACATCTAGCTGTGGGAGTGTCACCCACCCGGGGGGAGGGGTTACTGCCCTTTGTGATGTCATGAAGGTAAAATCTCCAAACGGCCTGTTTGAGCACACATTTTCTGAAAAGTGGAGCAGGCAAAAGATGGAGAGGATGGACTTTTCTCATAATTGTAGACAGACTAGGGACACATTAAAGTTAGAAAACCGTGGTAAAGGGCATTTCGCATGATAGGCGACCTTTAAGTCAAGCTACAGTAGGTCATTTAATTGAACTACTGCCCTTGTCCCAGTTTACAAGCACTCGGGGAAGAATCAATTTATTAGCGGTAGTATGTCGGACTCTGCTGTGAAACATGGAAAAGTTTCAAAAAAAGTCCAGTTTTAGTCAGACTGACGAAATAACTGTATATAAATGTGCTGAGAGTGAACTGTTCATATAACTGTATTGATGTATTTCTTTTTTTTTTTTAATATGTAATGATAAGTTTGTAGCAGTCGAGTGATGTTTTTCATAAAGTTTTAACAATGAAACCTTCTTCCTTCCTTTTTCTTTGTGTGTCTTCCTTGGAAATAGTCCACTTCTTTTGTTCCTAAAGAATGAGGAGAATCTTTTGTATTCACTTGAAACAAATCTTTCAGCCATTCTTCTTTCCCTCAAGTGTTCCCCCGCTAACACTTAACCTTTTTACTGAGGACTTTTCACTCTCATCCTCTTACTTTATATTCAATCACATTCTTTGCATTCTTTATCATTTTGGCTTTTTGAGTAACCCCAATCCCGTTCTGGCACAGAGCAGGGGATTCCTAAGAGTCAGGGAGAACAGATTGACTGGCTTCAGTGAGGGAGATTTCAGAGAAATTAGTCAGCTATCAGCATTCGACCAAGTCAGCGCTTCTTAAATGCAAGCAATCACCTAGACTTTAGACTTTTTTGTCCACATGGGCAAATTCCTTTTCACAGCACCGTTTCTGTCCAAACAGACAATTCCCACCACAGAGCAGTATACAAAACACAGAGTATAAAAAAAACCCAACAATCAAGAGTTCCCACTCTCAGGATCAGGCTCTGTAAGGTGGGGTAAGGTGGGTGATCAGTGTGTGATGCCCTGTTCAAGTACGGTCTGTGCTGTCAGCAAAGCGTGCGCCATCCTAGAAAAAGTTTGGTATGCTGCCCTGGGATCAAAATGACTGAACAGGACAGTGATGTGAAGTTTCTGTTAGCGACAGTTTGTTGTTTGAATCTGGATATAATTAACATAGAAGACTTCTCAGCTGCAACTTGTTTACGCAATCAGCTGAAAGGCTTTTTGTTTCTTTCACTTTCTGACAATGTGCTTGACTCATAAGAAGCTGCTGGGGGAATTAAATCCCCTCATTTGTGTTGTAAACTACTTATTTCTCAAACCACTTGAGTTTTCCCCCATTTTATATGTACATGTTACGAAATAGATTAAGATTGTACCCTAACTCAACAGTTAATAAAAATGAGCACCAGAATGACCAGAAAGAACCAAACAATGACTTATACAAGAATGTACCCCTTGTACCGTGTGTGCTGATATTGACATGAACATGGCTGTAACATGTTTATTTCTGCTGTCAAAATGGGCTTTTTAATTACCACTTACTGTCTTAATATGATATTTACATCAAGTCACTCGGGGACAATCAATGCTGGTAAACCTATAAGCAGATATAAAAGGTAGATATACTGGAAGGCTGATTCAAGATGTACAGTATCTGTTTCTTTCTGTTGTTCAGGTGAGAATAGTATCAAAAAAGATTTCAATGGTTTCAGCTGTCAAAAGGGACCAGAGAATTCAGTCAGCTTTTCCCTTCCATAAAACTGGAGAATTCATTTGTAAAAAGAAAACAACATATATATGTTGTTGTGCGACTGTCTGGCGGGCAGTGACTATCTATAGCTAGCGATAATGTTTCAAAATACGAGAAGTGGTGTTTTGGGGTGTTTTTTTCCTTGCTCATAGGACTGGTGCTTGACACAAGGTCACACAACAGAAACCACAAGCCAAGCCACAAGCACGCGTTTAGAATTACACACAGATGCCAGGTACTTCCCTCAGTTAGAGAATAGTTTAAAAAACAACAGGACGGGACAGGTGAACCTTACTGCAATAACAAGACTCCAATTAAATATACTTGTATTAAAAAATGATCTGTAAGCCCTTATGAAACCATCTTTATTATGTGATGTTGAACCACACCTTTCAGGGGAAATGACTCTCTCTATCTGAGAGAGACATGCTTCTCATACACACAGGCACAAAAAAGTCCTGTGGAAATGCATGAATGGAGAGATGTGTGTAGCACAGGAAGAGCTGTTGGGCGTGCCTTGCCCAACCTTAGACCCCATATAGACTGAGCTACTGCCGCATGCATTTATGATGAAACATTGAAACTTAATTCGACTTTATATATTGTTTCCCAGGCTTTGAATATTTGACACGCACTGATATTGAACAATCATGACCTCATTCCAAGAAGAGCAGCTAGGTTCTTTCCAGTTAAATTCAGAAGAATCTATGACTTCCTCCTTTGTTGTTGTTGTGTAAACAAGGAACTCAATCATGTGAAATTAGTGGTGTATAATATACCATACAGAGGCATGATGGGGCATGCAGCCAAGACTGGAGGAGGTGTGGCTGTGTATGTGGACTAAAACCTTAATTGCAAGGTGGTAGATGGATTGACAACTGCAATCGGAAATTTATTAGAATGTTTAACTGTTGAAATCTACATGGAAAAAAGGAAGAACGTAATTGTTAGCTGTATTTATAGAGCACCGGGTTCCAATATTGATATATTCAAAGAACGGGTGGAAGAAATGTTCACAATGTCTAATCAAAAGGTCATGTTCATCTGTGGGGATTTTAATGAAGATCTGCTTAATCCCAATAACCACAAACCAACTGAAGACTTTATCAATACAATGTACAGTCTAAGCCTCTATCCAAAAATCACCAGACCCAGCAGGATTACATCTCACTGTGCCACATTGATTGACAACATATTTACAAACATTATAGACAATAATACAATAAGTGGATTAATGATCAATGACATCAGTGACCATCTGCCAGTGTTTATAGTTTTCAATAACGACTACAAGAGGGAAAAACAGGAGAGTACATTCAAGTACAGAAGAGTCAATGAACGCTTTAAAAAATGAATTAATAAATAAAAATTGGGAAATATTATATAAAGAAGAAAACATTGACAAAGCTTATTAAATATTCTTAGGGGGTATTTAAATTGTTGTATGATAAACATTGTCCAATAAAATAAATCAAAATGAAATTTAAATTTTCAGATATTCCATGGATAACTAAGGGACTACAAAATGCCTGCAAAAAGAAAAATACACTATATAAAGAATTCATAAAACTTAGAACCAAAGATGGAGAAAATAAATATAAGAAATATAAAAATAAGCTAACTAATATTATGAGAAATATTAGGAAAGAATATGACAGCAAATTATTATTATTATGGAATATATTAAATAGTGTTATTGGAAATGGTTCTAGACAAGTTAAATATCCACATGACTTTATTGACAATGATATGACTATTGATAATATGGATGATGCAGTAAATGGCTTCAATAATTATTTTGTAAATGTTGGACCAATACTGGCTGAAAAAATCCCTGTTTCTGTGAGATGAGATGAGATGAGATGAGATTCAACTTTATTGTCATTACACATATACAGGTATAGAGTAACGAAATGAGGTTTGGCATCTCACCAGAAGTGCAAATAAGCAGAAAGTGCAAGAGTCTGTGCTATGTACAGTAATTGAGTGCAAGAGTCTGTGCTATGTACAGTAATTCTGTGCTATGTACAGTGATTCTGTGCTATGTACAGTAATTGCAAAATTTACAGATGTAGCCAAAAAAAAGTGAATTATGAGGTATATCTGGATGGCTGGCTTAATGGGATGCAATAAAAATAAATAAATGCTATAAATAAGTAATGCTACAAAATAAGTGTGTTCTTAGGATTATAATATACAGATTAAGATGCGGTGAGCATCTATACTAATAATATACAGATTAAGATGCAGTGAGCATGCTATACTAATAATGTACAGATTAAGATGCAGTGAGCATGCTATACTAATAATATACAGAATAAGATGCAGTGAGCATGCTATACTAATAATTTACAGATTAAGATGCAGTGAGCATGTTATACAGTTTACAGATAATTTACAGAATATGAACGTACTATAATACAATAATACAGATGGATGAGAGATGTGTGTGTGTGACCAGGAGGAGAGGTGGGGGATGATGGGTGTGAGGTGATATGGAGGGGAAAGGGGGTCAGCAGGGTGCGGAGAGAGAGAGGGAGAGAGAGAGAGAGAGACAGAATACAGAGTTCGAATACAGGGAGAGAGAGAGACAGAATACAGAGTTCGGGGAGTGAGGTGATATGGAGGGGAAAGGGGGGTCAGCAGGGTGCGGAGAGAGAGAGGGAGAGAGAGAGAGAGACAGAGTTCAGAGTTCGGGGGTAGAGTTCAGTAGAGAAACAGCTCTGGGGAAAAAGCTGTTCTCAGTCTGTGGTTCTGGTCCGGAGGCTTCTGAAGCGCCTGCCGGAGGGCAGGAGGGTAAACAGTCTGTGGGCAGGGTGGGAGGAGTCTTTAAGAATGCCGTGAGCTCGCCGCAGACAGCGTGTTCTTTGGACATCCTCAATGGCCGGAAGTGGACACCTTGTGATGCGCTGGGCGGTTTTTACCACCCGCTGTAGCGCCTTACGGTCTGCGACAGAGCAGTTTCCGTACCAGACTGAGACACTGCTGGTCAGGATGCTCTCGATCACACAGCGGTAGAAGTTCATCAGTACAGCTGAAGACAGGTGGTGTCTCTTCAGTGTCCTCAGGAAAAAGAGGCG